ACCCAAGTATATCATTGATGGTGAGGCATGTCTAAATCTTGATCACGATTCAAATTTTATGAAATGCCCAGCCATTCACACTAAGCTTTAAGTCCCTCAGACGACGTACGTACTTTGCTTCTGTGGATGTTAATAAGCATGAGGGCCTGAGGGCACTCCAGCAATGGTGCAGCAAAGAGCATACACAACAAAGATTAGAAAGAGTCCATTTATAGAGACACGTCCTGACAAACTAATGCTGAGGCGCTTTAATGGAAATATGACAAGCATTGAAGTAAAAGCTGAAGACTGGGGCAGCGTAGCGTTAGCAAAGCTCCACAAACACCATCTACAGCGGCGTAAAATGAGACGAGAGCAGCTTTAGGTGGTGTATTGACTGTGACTATAAAGGCCAAGCATGCTCTGTTGAGGCAAGATCTAAGCCTTCTCTAAACATTGTGGATGTGAATTCAAGCTTTGTGCTCAGTGCACTGGGCGCACAGAAACGACTCATAACCTTAAGGCCACTTCGAAAATGCTACAAACTTTCTGTACTGAAGTATAGGCTTGTCACAATAACAAGTTTTAGTATGACATATTGCTGAAGTCCATATAAATTATAAAAGATAATACTGAAACTAATTTATGCTTACCTGGCCAGTCAGAACCACATGCTTTGACAAGACTTTACAAAGACAAGTGGATCTGGAGCTGTAACCTGTCTCTTTGATTTCAGAGGGCGTGACTGACAGGCAAATTAACCAAACAGAGAGATGAAAAAAATAAAATAAAATAAAATACAGAGGACTGAAAAACAGTGCAGATTTTTAAAGAATCAGCAATAAAAGCACCAAACTATTACGTATCTAAGGTTAAAATAAGTTATATATTTTGTTCTGAATGAGGAGATGTCTTCCACAGCTGTGGATTGTCTCAAGTTTGGACAGAGTTATGTAGAAGGTAAGTGATAAATATTGACCACAAAAAGACATGGTTTCATTTTGTATATATTGACCAATAAGTCGAATCACAGGGTTTCTCCCGATGTTACATGACTCACAATACGATATTATCATGATATGGCAGTAAATGTGATAATTAAGGATGTAACAATAACCGAAATATCGTGATATCGTATCGTCAGGACTGTCACAATAATATTGTGGACCATTGCAATATATCGAATTGCAAGGTTTTTCACTTAAAAGGATTAAAAAAGACAAAACTGCATAGGCCATAATGCTTTATTTACTTTACTACATAATAAAATAACTGTTATTAAGCACTTTAAATCTTATTTCTTTGGAATATGGCAAAAATTATTCACACTGAAGACTGGTCACGGTATTTAAAAAGGAAAAAATAGCGTATGTACAACTCTGTTAATCAATCCAAAATATAATTATCGCACAGTGAGAGGCATATCGTGATAATATTGCACCATGAGATCTGGATATCATTACATCCCTAGTGATAATCGATGTAATGCACATGACACGCTGTGATATATTGCTGTTTTAAAGAACATTTTAGTGACAATTTCTTTGTTAAAAGTTGTGTAAAGTCAATATAAAAGATATGTATTCTATCATCAAAATCGTCAAGTGTATTGCATAACCAAGTGTCTTTCCACAAAATAAAGAACTTTTTTTTTTGTGCAGTCACAAAAAAATTGCTGAAAGAAAAAAACACTCTTGATGATATATTGATACAGCAGCCCACAATTACGTTACGTTACGTTACCAAAGTTAGCACCACAATATATTGATATTTTTGCACACCTCTTGTAATTATTGTGACAGGCCTATTACAGCCTACAGTGGATTCAAAGAGCTGCTTGTGCCTCAGAAGGGGTATTTTTAACACTGCAATGGTTAAAACAGACTGTCAGGTTGGAGGTTGTGACATTTTGCTTCTAGGGATTGCTAAGCTGGTGTGAGAGTGCCCTCCTGACTCTTAAGCCTCTGGAGTTGTCTTTGCGAGGGCTAGAGATGGAGAGGCGGTGCTGAACTCAGTGATATACTTGACAGACAGAAGCATCAGCGTTCTGTTCATTATTTAAGATGATGAGTAGGGAGTTGTAATGGAAGGAAGAGGTTGCGTGTGAAATCTGGTCACAGTTTTAAGTCATCTGTGCTCTGGTTGGGCTTATCTGTCAGCTTGTTTGTTGGATTTAACCCAAACATCTGTCTTAGTGGTGGTTACTTCAACTGTCCCAAATACCCTACATCAGTTTGTGAATGACAGCAGATGCAATCTGAAAGTGAAACAACTGGTTTGCTTTTTGCATGCAAAAATACAGAAGTCTGACCAGTATAGATGTTTATACTAATCACAAGCTGTTTTTTCATAATATGGGTACAATTTAAAACTAAAATTTCAATCTCAGTTTCAATACTAAGGGCTCGACTTGACACTCAATACTAGTTTCATGATAGCTGAAGGTCATTTTCAACATTACATCATAGTACTTTCTTTTACATTACCATGTGGCCTTTATATCTGTGTAATCACTAGTCTAATCTATGTGGTCTTAAACGTGCTCAAGATCATTCTAAAGCTATTCAGGAAAGCTTCTACTACAATTAGCAATGGACTATAGCTCAATATCATAACATCATCTCAGGTAATTTCCCGTAAAAGGGGTTTAAAGTAAAATATTATGCAAAATAGGCTTTTAAGATCTGTTAACCGTGTTTTAATGGTGTTCCCTTCTCATTTACTCACTCAAAGTTGTATTTTTAATGATACCTGCATGTTTGGGAAATCTTTATTCTCCTGCACTCAAGACTCTGGCTCTGAAAATTCTTGTTTTTCATTACTCCCCATGCACACACACTGCTCTACTTTGCTCTCAGATTTTTTTTTTTCCCCTTAACAATGACATGTATCTATTCGCAAGCCTGTTGAATCCTATAGTCATTTTGGCACAGATGAAAAAAAATCCACTGTTCCCTTGGTGGTTGTTAAGTTGAAAATCCATTTGATTAATAGGGAAGAAATGTGGAGTCAGTTGCTAACAAATTTGTGAATCAACATTTCTTTCAAAAACACTGAATCTCTCTGATATAGAGTTATATCAGCCCCTGCACTCTATCTGAAATTATAACATCATCAAATTTTAGAACGTGAACACAACCAATGTACTTTCAGTGTTTCCCCATTAACAGATGAGACTATGCTGGCCCCTCTTTCATCTAAATGATACTGAGCAATTGGTATATAAATAACACTTTTGGTTGTTGCATAATGATATTCAGTATATGCAAGTAACTTTATTTAATCTTTTTTTTCAGTCTGTTATTGCTTAATAGAGGCAATAAGTGGCATTTACTCCAAAACTGATATTCTAGTTTTTTCTTCCAAATAAGGATTGCCTGGGCTGCCATAGTCTCATAAAAACCTAATGGAAACACTGTACTTTCATCCTTAGGGTTCCTCCACGTACTCAAAGTGTATCCCATATGTGCCCAACCAGTAACTGTAAAGCAGCACAAAAAGGACATTCCAGTAACACATGATCTGCCAGGAATGCACAGTCCTTTGTCCCACAGCACAGGCACTGCTGCTTATTCAAAATGTCAGGAGATCAGATTTTATTGTTCTTAGACGCATACTGAGAAGACGCATTATTTTATGATTATTCACAGTTATTAGCACCAAACACTCAAAATCCAATCAGTGTCTAATTACCATTCCTTTTTTCTGAGATAAATAGCCAGCTATAACTTCACATTTATGATTCTTTGGATTGCAGATTAAATTTAAATTCCCTTATTTTTCAATATTTTTAGTGCTTCAATTACAATGTGGTAACCTGTGTAGTCACAATATAATAAGTTTTACAGAAAATAATTAAATGTGCTATTATATAAAACAGGCAATACATAAAAATATTCTGAATAAAATTAATCTTATGTGATGTCGTTCTTGTGGAAAACGTATTGACCTGTATAAATCATAATTAGGGTTGCAACTAACAATTACTTTAGTTAACTAGTCAACAATTATTTTTTTATTTATTTTTTTTATTAGATGACTACTAACAACATTTAACATCGGGTTTTAACCAAATAAATGTGTCTTAGGGTCTGTATTGTCGAGAAAACAATTATCAAAATAAAATTACTAGTTTTATTTATTAATCATTGCTCTGAAATAAGAGTTTTATTATATTTTATAACCAGTAACAACTCTGAGAAACAGGCACTTTCCTCTTTCAAAGCAGGCAACTATCCACCGCTTCCTCCAAGCTCCCTGGCCACTATAGTCTCTTAGCAACGCCGCCAGGCAAATCAATGTGGGGGGGTAAAAGGAGAAAGACAGAGAGATAAATGGGGGTGGGAGGAAATGTGAGGAGAAGGGCACAGACCAGTGTCAAGGGTATCAAGAGGAATACGCAAGAATAGTCACAGTCCACAGAGCCATTACAAAAGGCCAGCTGGACACTGATGTAGGCATACAGAGTTTAGGTAGTCCACATTACAGCCTGGTTAAAAGGTTAGTGAAGTCATTCAAAGTCTGCAGTCCCGCTGGCCCCATATCAATCCGATAATCCCACAAGCCACCCAAGAATGTTCACTATTCAAAAGAAAATTGTATGTTTTCCCTCATACATAGAAATAGGCTTAATACTTTTTTTTTTTTTTTTTAATATATGTGAGGTTTATAAGGTTTATATTCAATTTCCCGTCATGTGCTTCCTTTAGGGGCCCTCCTGCTGTACCACTGAGCCTCCGGGGGCCTGAACCCCACTTTGGGAACCAGCGGGTTGGAGAAAAAACAATATGTACTTATTTTTGTTTGTGAGACACAGTGAGGCTTAAAATGCAAACGAGAAAAAGTCTGAACAAGCCCATTGAACAAGCACAATGCATCTGGGCAGACTGGGGTACAAATCGCTGGCCTCTAACAACAGCATCACTGGCACTGAACAGAATGATGTCTGTCTCTTTTAACAGACCATGGGTGCCCGTACGAAATGCATGCCTGTGTCAACAAAGACGTCGTGGGATGCTTACCTTGCAGTGGCACCGATGTATTCTTCTGCTCCTCAGAAATCTCTCCTGCAGTCGGTGCTTTTTAAATCTCGCTGCCCTTTTTCAGGCATCGTTCATGGCACACAGGCACGTTGTCTGAATAGAAATGCGTGCGGGGCTTTCCCTGTTCCAACTAAAACAGTAGTGCATCTGAATGGAGAGCCACATATTCAAAATATTAGCTGTTTAATGTAGCAATGCTAAACAAAACAGCATGTACCACATATTTGGCATCTATCCACCTTGCCAATTCGTAACCGCAGTGATGTTATCGCGTCTGGAGAGGACCGTAGACCACTCTTCTCCGCGGCAGCCCAGTTGACGGAGTCGGGGGGAGCATGAAACCAGGAGGCGGCGTCGCGTCATCTGTGAGGGGATCGTCCTGAAAGACCCCGGAGGCCAGAGCCACCAGCATGCTGCCCTTTCCTCCCTTTTCACGTTGGAAAATAAAAACAACTGAAACATATTTGCCTCTAGTAATACTACAAATAGTGAAGCATCTGTATATTGTAATGGTAAGCATTATTGTTGTTGTCATTTTTTCTTTAATTTTGTTTAAATCTCTGACTAGAAAAGGCTTTTTATAGGTTTTGTGGGGTACATGGGTGGCACAGAAGGTCAAGCGTAGTGTATGTAAAATTACTGTAATTGGAAATGAATAAAGTTCACAAATGTAATTGCATTGAAATTGTTTGCTGCTAAAATAGTTTTTGCTAAGTTTCTGTTATTTGTTTTAATATGTTTGAATTATTATTTGTTAACAGTCCATTAAATAAAAGACTCAAAACTCCTACATATTTAGGTATTTTTTTATGCTTTGTCTTTGTCGACATCTGCCGGCAACTAGCTGGTACTACAGTATCTTTTTTGAGCAGGCATTGTAGTGGGCCACTTACCTGTGGTCTACGTCACTAAGGACCCTAAACGGCGTCTGGTTGTCGTTGCTTTTCATTGAAATGTTAGGAAACCAATTTTTCTAAAATACATCCATTAAAATCAGAACCATCAGAGCGGTAATTACACTGTTTTACATATGTATATGTTGTTCTGTATAAGTACACAAATTCCGCGTATATTTTTCCCATGCAATTCGTAAATGAAGTGACTAGATGAAGATGCGCCAGTATGTTTTGGCACTTTGTTTGAATGGGTTTGTAGTCCCGACTTGGCGGCAACTGATCATGTTTCTCGTATCCTTTCCCTCATCTGAAAATAACGATATATATATATCAGTTCAGACAGCCTAAACACAACGTATAATTGCTTGTCTTTAGAGATACTGTTGGTGGTTTGTTGGAAGCTAATATTAGCTTAGCCCTAGCAAATACGTAGCCAACTCTGTAAACAATGTCTTCTGCAAACCGTAATATCTCACCCCTCACCCTTATATTTTCATCCTATCTCTATGTCTGCATTACTAGATGTTTGGTGCATACATAGCTGTTAATAAATATTTTAAGCTCCCTATGTGAGTTGGTTGTTTTTTTATGAGTTCTTTTTGTTGTTTAGATTTTGGTAGTAACAATCTTAAGTCATCTTTTTAATGCATCTCTTTTCTCTTTTTTCCGCAGCTCAAAGCACAGTTGCTTCTTGCTCCTATAGTCGCTAGTGGGGTACAACTGACAAGGAGCCATGTTTCTGTACAACATTACCCTGCAGAGGGCTACTGGCATCACCCATGCCATCCATGGAAACTTTTCAGGTATAATAAAAATATTAATACATAGGGCAGTTGTTGAATTTGCAACTTAAAATGTAATCTTTGTCTTTATAGGAACTAAGATGCAGGAGATTGTGGTTTCTCGGGGGAAAATTTTGGAGTTATTAAGACCCGATGCAAACACTGGAAAAGTGCACACCTTGCTCACTGTGGAAGTGTTTGGTATTGTCAGGTCTTTGATGGCATTTAGATTAACAGGAGGAACTAAAGGTATGATGACTCATTGCCTGTTTTTACGTGTATTAATTCAATTTGGAATAATTCATTTTGTTTTTTAGATTATATTGTTGTTGGAAGTGACAGTGGCCGAATTGTGATTTTGGAGTATCACGCTTCAAAAAACATTTTTGAGAAGATCCACCAAGAGACATTTGGGAAGAGTGGTTGCAGGCGCATTGTCCCTGGACAGTTCCTGGCTGTTGATCCTAAAGGAAGAGCTGTTATGATTGGTATGACAATTGAAGTAAATTCAACCATGACTAACTAATCTATTTGCAGAAATTCTTCTAGGTATAACCGTACTTGTTACTAAATGTCATGATGTCATACAGAATGTTGTCCTTTGTTCAGGGGCCATAGAAAAACAGAAGTTGGTTTATATTTTGAACAGAGATGCCGCGGCTAGACTTACCATCTCATCTCCTTTGGAAGCTCACAAAGCAAACACTCTTGTCTACCATGTAGTAGGAGTTGATGTAGGATTTGAAAATCCCATGTTTGCCTGTCTTGAAATGGATTATGAGGTAAATTTATGAAAATGTATTGAATTAATGTTACATATTATTAGTTAAATTGTATAACATTCCTTTAATGTGTTTTATGGCAGGAAGCTGACAATGATCCTACTGGAGAAGCAGCCGCTAACACACAGCAAACCCTCACCTTTTATGAACTGGACCTGGGCTTAAACCATGTTGTTCGCAAATACAGTGAAGCTTTGGAAGAACATGGAAATTTCCTCATTACTGGTAAGAAATTTTAGTAGATGCAATGAAATATTCTCTCTGTAGCATTATCAAATATGTATAAAACATTTTACAGGTTTTATTATCTGTTTTTGTTTCAGTTCCTGGTGGGTCAGATGGTCCCAGTGGTGTGTTGATCTGCTCAGAAAATTACATAACATACAAAAACTTTGGAGATCAGCCTGACATTCGTTGTCCTATCCCACGACGCAGGGTAAGTTGCACACATTTTAAAAATAGATATTAAACATTTAGATTTTTTGTTAAACAAGTTGGTAACCTTTTGTTTGTTATGTCATTGTGCAGAATGACTTGGACGATCCTGAGCGGGGCATGATTTTTGTGTGCTCAGCTACTCACAAAACAAAGTCCATGTTCTTCTTTCTGGCACAAACTGAACAAGGCGACATCTTTAAAGTTACTTTAGAAACAGATGAAGAAATGGTAAAACTAGCGCTACCTGTTTGCATGTAACATGTTCAATATTTTCATAATATTGTAACATTATTTTTATTTTATTTGCTGGTCCTTTTCTTGTAGGTCACAGAAATCAGACTGAAGTACTTTGATACAATTCCAGTGGCAACAGCAATGTGTGTTTTAAAAACTGGATTTTTATTTGTTGCCTCAGAGTTTGGAAATCAGTAAGTCACCTTTTCAAAATTTGGTACATTCATTTCAATTAAGTTTCCTTACAATTTACCTAATTCCTGTTTTTAGTTATCTCTATCAGATTGCTCACTTAGGGGATGATGATGATGAGCCAGAGTTTTCTTCTGCTATGCCACTGGAGGAGGGAGACACGTTCTTTTTCCAGCCGCGTGCTCTCAAGAACTTGGTGTTGGTGGATGAACTAGAAAGTTTATCACCAATAATGTCATGCCAGGTTTGACCCCTTCACATATATAGTGATTCCTGTATAGTTTATAAAATAAGGAATTTTTTGTAATTTGTACTTAGTATTTTTTTATTTATTTGTTTATTATTATTATTTTTTAAATATTATAGATTGCTGATCTGGCTAATGAAGACACACCTCAGCTCTATGCAGCATGTGGAAGAGGGCCAAGGTCTACCCTGAGAGTCCTCAGACATGGTTTGGAGGTGCAGGGACTTTTCTGTGCAAAATGTTAAAGGTCATTGTGAATGGTATTAATTTCTGACCATTGCCTATCAGGTTTCAGAGATGGCAGTCTCAGAGCTGCCTGGTAACCCAAATGCTGTGTGGACTGTGCGCAGGCATGTGGAAGGTAAACATTTTTGTAACTACTGTATTTTCCGCACTTTAAGGCGCTCTGGATTATAAGGTGCACCGTCATTGAATGGTCTATTTTTGAAATTTTTTCACATATAAACTGCACCAGATTATAAGGCGCATTAAACGAAACACAACAGTTAGATAAGTCAGTCAAACTTTATTTAACGCGTTCACAATAACTCAACTTTGTTAAATTGTAACGCGTAAAAAAAATACTATCTGAGACCGCTAAATTGTTAGCGTATTCACAGTAAATCATAATTCTCATTGGCTCCCTATGTGGCAGCCTCTTGCCATTAGAGCTTTACGCACGCTGCTCTGTTGGCAAGAGAGGGGCCTCATACGCCTGACCTCCCGCAGGTGAGAGTGCGGTGGAAATGCCAGGGTAACGAGTGCGTAAAAGTCCGCAACTTTTAAGTGCACGCACGAGGAGAAGGGGCTCTGCAGCCGCCTCTTTATAAACTTTTATGAGTTTATAAGAGACCCACGCATTTCTGGTTCCCTCTGTAAGACATGCTGGCCTCCATGACCAGGTAAAATTCCATTCCTTTAGCCCTTATTCATGAAAATACCCAAATTCCTAAATCATTGATCCTTTTAGTGCCGCTTTCTGACTGCGCTTCACTCTCGCAACACGGTGAGCTTCACAGCACATTCTCATGCGCCCTAGTCTTTGGCGACAGGTAATGAATGTCTGCTGCTCCTGTCCATTCACAAAAATGTCCAAATTGTCTCAATCCAGTTTTTTGTAGTTTCTCTGCTTGGCTGTATCATTGTGCCTTGAGCCAAGTGCACGTCACTGCACGCCTCCATCTGCAGTGACAGGTAAGGCCCCATAATCTCTTCATTCATAAAAGTTCCGAATTCTTACGCATCTGTCCCTTGTAGCCACGCTGCTCGGTTGCACTCACTGTACCAGGACCTACAGTGGTGCGCCTTCAACAATCGGATAAGATAAACGCATTCTAAATATAACTCTGACACACGATCCCAGGGTTGACGGCTGGGAATCCTCTTTACACAGCTCACTTTCTGGAGTTTGGGATGACGGGCGCAGAATGACTTGCCCGTCCTTGGCACAATGCCAACTATACAACCAGATTAATTGTTAGAGACCATGTTTGGAGGTGAAATTATATTTAGAATGCGTTTCTTATCCAATTGTTGAAGGCGCACCACTGTAGGTCCTGGTACTGCGAGTACAGCTGAGCAGAGTGGCTACAAGGGACAGATGCGCAAGAATTTGGAACTTTTATGAATGAAGAGATTATGGGGCCTTACCTGTCACTGCAGATGGAGGCGCACAGCGACGCACACTTGGCTCAAGGCGCAATGATACAGCCAAGCAGAGAAACAACGA